TATAATACATAGTATAGATATAGATGGTCATCGTATTTTACATACATATATATGTTTACATACATTAATGTCTGCGGAGGAGGTTTTGCAGGAAGTGCTTCCCGCGATTCCGTCAGTGGTGAATGTGTTGATGTTCTCTGTGGAAAAAATAATATTTGCATAATTCGCATAATCTTCACTCACTGCAGCAGTTTTTTTGCTCGCATACTCATCACCTCCTCTTTATACTGTCAACTAGCTGGTGTTTTGCTTTCGCCATAAAAATGAAACGGAATTCGTGATGTGCCTTTTATATTTCTGCAATTGTCATATGAGTAAAACTTTTTTTATTTGAAAAGAGGTAAAAAATAAGTCTACGTACATATGTGTTTACATAAAAAGTTACTTTGCGGATATGCGATGCTTTGCGAGGTAAATTTAAAAAATAGCTGCAACATTAAGGCATATACGGGCGCTTTTTATTTTATGCAGGGACATGCATACTAGTGTTGGGACGTATCGATACTTTTAAGGATCGGGTATTTTTCAGAGTACTGAGTACTTTCTTTAAATATACACATGTTGGTAGTATTTCAATACTTAGTGTAGAAATCTCACAAGCTGGTAGTATTTTATTCAAATTAGTATATGAATCCCAAATTACGTCAAATGAATGGCTAACTGTACTGGGTACAAGTACTGTACTTGAAAATTGTTGAAACTGCAAATTTAGTACAATAATTTCTGAATACCGTTAAATGTAAATAAAGGTCAGTACTTTTTAAGTCTATTCGACACTTAATACTGAGTACTTTGAATCGATCCTGAGCACATGTAGCTAAGCGATTATTGGAACAGAGTATTTTTGAATACTGAGTACTTTCGAGTTGTTTTAAGTTCTGAGTACTTTCGAGTTCCTTTTTCTGAGTACTTTTGGTATCGATACTGCCCAACACTAATACATACATATGTATATGGGCAAATCTAAAACAGGTAACCTTTGTGCTATTTAGCTGTACTAGTATCGCCCAGTAGTCGAAATTCGACATCTTTTTTCTTACACTTTTGAATTTTACCTGTCACCAATACTAACTCCTTTATGCGAATTACTGTATTGAACTCCACCAGCATAATTTATAGCGAATTTACAGGAAAACTTAAACTTAAAACTAATTCTACAAAGTCTCCTTTAAATATCTTCAGTAGCTTATGAAATTAGACCGAAGAAAGAACCTCGATTTTCATTTATAAAAAATATGCATATGAATTTGTATGTATAGATGAGATGTTCATCACTGACTTATATGTCAAACATTTACCAATTCAGACTGTAAATAAGTTTTTCGATTATATTTGTCTGAGAGCCTCTTGGAGGTTAAAAACGAAATTGCCCACATCTACATAAACTCTTTCTTCTTTTCATAAGAATCGTAAACGGCTGAGAAAGTATCTTGAAGGTTTAAAACAAAAGATAATGTTTAATCCTCTAATGGCGGCTTCACACGGGTTTTTGTCAAGACTGGGCCAAGGCCCGATATTTTTTGCATCACACGACTGTGATACCAAGTTACACCAAATTTTATGTTACTAATATGTGTTCTAAAAGTGAAAAAAATCTGATCATAAATATGATTTCTTAGGCTAGCTGTCAATCCTTGCGCCACCTATCGGAAGACAAACACACTGATCCTGATAAGTGGTTCCAGAGAAAAGCGATATGAGAATTTCAGTTTGTATGGGCGGTGCCACGCCCACTTTCCCGGTACCTACCATTTTTCACCGTAAGTAGGGCATTTACAATCTATGCATCTGTGCCAAGTTTCAGTTCCCCAGCACAATTAGTTTTAGAGATATAGTGGTTTTCACATTTTAGTCTACATATATGTCAGATGCCGCGCCCCGTTTGAATCGGGATTAACATTTCTGGATTAGAGGAAAATATAAAAAAAATATTAAAAACAAGTGATTTTTTTATGTAATTTTTAAGATGTGAAAAATTAATTCTGTCATAACATTAGAAGCACACCATATACTGGTTCTAAATTTTTTGTTTGTAACTCTACTTTTCACAATTTTCAAAACTTTCAGTTTATTGCGTATAGTTTTTGAAGCAAACGTTGTGATAGTTGCTTCTACATACTTAATTGAAGCCTTCTAAATTCAATAGTGTCCCCAGTTTTGACAGTCTGGCTCTACTTTTCGAGATAGCGGTACTTGAAGCTTTGCTTAAATCTTAACTATGTTATAAATAACTCCCTCAGTTTTGAAGTTATTTTACTAAAATGTTGCACATGATCGTTTTTTAATATTACCTTAACTAGTCCATGAAAACATCGAAATCGGTTCACTATAACAAATAGCTCCTATACAACTGGTTGTTAAGAGACGTTGTTTTGCGTTATAACTCCTCCAGTTAAGAATGTGAGAAATTTAATACTATTTTTCTTCATCATAAACAAATAAAACATCATTGAAGCATTTGATGAAAATGAATTACACATATTTATTAATTTATTAAGAGATTACGAATAAAATCATATATAAAATATAGTTGTGCCCACAAATTTAAAAAATTTAACTTTTTTTTTTTTGAAAGTACGAGTTTTTTAGATTTGCCCATATGTACACTTGATATGCATATGTGAGTAGTTGTTACATATGTAAGTGTGGAAAAGTGCTAACTCAGATTTACTTTTTTCTCAGAAGAAGCTGAAACCGTAAAAGTAGGAGCTAAATATATACATATAGTAAAGTTCTGTGTTTTGGGCAATTTGAAAAGTTCCATTAGATATATGGCTTCTAATTTGGGACTATATAAAACTTTTAGACAAGTGATTTTAATATAAAAAAATACAACTGGTTTCGAAAATATGTCAGTTAGGGCCTTTTTATATATCACTAACTATATTTAAATATGTCAGTACATCTTTTAATATGTGCACACCTAAGATGCGTTGTGGTAAACTTTTTTTTCATAACATAATGTTCTGCGGATTACTGTTATAAATGCTCACATTTAAACAAAAATGGAAGAATTTTTGTATTATATAATTAATGCTCGCAAGTTCTATTATTAACACTTGCATATTCATACGATGGCGCAACTCCATAAATTATGTGTGCTTTAAATTTATGTGAGTTGTTTTAGAAATAAATATGAAAACTGAATGAAGGGCAAATCATTTTTTTACTTAAATTTCTGGTGAAACCGGCAGTTACTCGAATAAATTCTATTGTACACACATATGTATGTATGTATGTATGTATGTGCTTGCCAAAAAACGGAGAAGGGAAACTCGTTATATCTAAACATATTTATGCAAGGGACTTAAAACTTCGAACATTGCTTTTACCCCGATGACAATGCAATACGAAATATGAATTAATCCACTAGGTGGCACAGGTGTCGATATATTTAAAAAAACTCATATATAGAAAAAACAGCTCCACACAAAATTGAGCCGGTAGGGGCGCAGGAATTGAGATATTATGATAAACCCGCATTTATAGTCCGATATTGTTAATATTTAGAACGTATATTACTAGCCGCCGTTAGGTGGTGCAAGGGGTATGGTTGCCAACCGTACTATAATATATAGTATTGTACAATGGTTTGGGTCTGCGTACTATATATTGTTGGAAAAAAATATAGTATGCAAAAATACTATATTTCTCCAGTTATAAATATAAGTAGATTTCTGTAAAATG